CGACCCTGTCCTTGGGCCCAGCTCCAGGAGAGAGAAGGCAGAGAGCCAGGGACGGAGGAGGGACAGCCCAGCTCCTTGGCACCTAGGCAGTGGCTGTTTGCCTGGCTGTCCCTCCGAGCTGCCCAATGCACTCGGCCCCCAGGAAGAGCAGTGCCCTAGAGGTACTTGTGGACGAGGGGCTGAGGGAGCAGGAACACTGCACGGGCTCGCCTAGCACCCTAAGTAGGGCAGGCCACTGCAGAGGGCTCAGGAAAGGAGCGCAGTGCCCAGCGGGTGCCCACTCCTCTGAGGGTGTCCCAGCCCCACTGGATGCCAGGGTGACCCAGATGCTCAGAGCACAACAGTCCCTCCAGCACCCCTCCACTGAAGTCACAGCATACACATAAAAGAGAGAAGCCAGGCACTGCTCAGGTTTCAGCAGTGACAGGTGAAAAGCAAGGAATCCAGCCAGCCCTGCACACAGCAGCCGGGCCCAGCCCTGCCAGCCAGGCACTCCTCCTTGCTGCTGCCTGTCAGTCAGGCTTTGGCGTTATTGAAAGATCAAACTTGGCCCTGCCTGCTCATTCCCTTAATCCTATTTTCTGCACGGCTTTATTATCTGCTCAGGGTTCTCTGGGAAAGACAGATCCAGAGTCATCCTGTCCATCCATTTCCTCCCACCAAAGGCAGGGGCCTCCACCGGGGCATCTCCCTCGCTGCCTGCGCTGCTGGGTCTGCCAAGGCCCCCAGGGCCAGGACAGATGTTTACACACAGCTGGTTCTTTCCAGGGCTGAGGAGAGGCAGTACCTACAGATGGCAGGGTGGTCCTGCCATGCAAAGAGCCCACAGGCCGGCAGGATGCAGTGTCCGTGTCTCCATTAAGAATCAAGGCCACAGCTGCCTTGTGCCCATTCTCATTTGGGTTCATTCTAGGTTCAGTACAGACCTGGGGTCTGGAGCTGGCAAAGTCTAGGGATTTCATAAGAGAATCACATTCGAAGGGTTGGTTGGTGCCTTAGGGCTCCATCCTGACCTTAAATTCCCACAGAGGCTGCCATAGGCAGCTCCGAGTTCACGCAGGCCCTGAGGCGGCCCTGGGCCCCCCAGCAGCTGTGCACATCCCAGGCCCGAGCCGGTGACGGTGCCCGCTGACTCATGAAACCGTCTCAGCAGAAATGGCTGTGCTGGCCAGAGCCTTTGCGCCATGAGGTCAGCAGCCTCCTCTCCCTCTCTACAGGTTCCCTGAGGAAGGGTAAACTCCATGGTGCCCACGTGGAGGCAGCTGTGGGGGGGGGTGTGTGGATGCTTGCACAGGATGAGGGTGTCCGAGTTGTCAGGCACTCGGGGGAGCACTTTTGCACAATCATTTTGCTCACAGTTAGGGAAGGGATGATTAATTCCCATTTTTCAGTGCCCACTATGGAAACTGAAGCCCAGAAGGTCCCCAGATCATAGGCTAATAAACGGCGGAGTAGCTGTAGAACCCAGCGCCGTCTGGCCACAGAGCAGCGCTCCTCCTGGAGCTCCCCACAGCTTCCCAGCACACCACCCAGCAGGCTTCTCCCCTCCACCGACGGCCCCTTCTGCCTCAGCCCTGTTCAGGAGGAAAGGTTCATGGCAGGCGTGGGGCAGGGCAAAGTCTGGGAACAAGGTCTACAGCCTACAGCATGCCAACATTCCAGGGGCTCAGGACCAAAGGAGCCCTGGACGTTGCATCTAGGCTGGCAAGAGTAGAGATCTCTGAGCTGGGCGTGGTGGTGCACGCCTGTAATCCCAGCAGTGGGGAGGCTGAGGCAGGAGGGTCACCATAAGTCAGAGGCCAGCCTAAACTCCACAGTGAGTTCAAGGCCAGCCTGGACGATACAGCAACACCTTGTCTCAAAAATGAATAAATAAAAATTAAAAAGTAGGACTCTGGGCTTGGGTGTGGTTCAGTGGTAGAGCTCTTGCCTAGCCCGTACAAGGCCCTGGGTTCAATCCCTGGTGTGTGCAAGTGCTCACACAGACAGGCACACAAAGCGCAGAACAAAAGGAGGTCTAAAATGAGAGGTGACAGCACCTGCCCTCATCAGACCACACCTGGTCTGTTCAGTACTCTGAGGGATGAAAGCAGACAGAGCAGTAAGGGAGACTCAGGTGAGAGGTCCTGAACCAGCAGGCTCACCAGCCACTCTGCACATTCTTGCTGACCAAACCCCGTTTCTGCACCACCGCTGCCCTCTTCCCTGCCTCGGTGACTGCATAGGGCAGGCCGGGCTCTTCCTCAGGCCAGGGAGGGAATGCATGACTGGTTCTTCGGTTCCCTTCCACAGCTTGCTTTAGGGGCTCCTAGGAAAGGGTTCTTCATCTTAAGAGGTCACCAGCAGGGACACATCTTCCTCCCTTCGTCCCTTGCACTACACAAGCCAACACCACACAGCGTGGTTGGCAAAGCAGAACGCGGAGTGCATGAGGCACTCACGGTCTTGAGATAGGGAACCATCAACTCTGGAGCCACCCAGCCCTCAACTGGGCTTCTTGTCACGAGATCATAACACACCCAGTACTGTTTAGGCCACTTGGAATTAAGTCTTCATTACTTATACCCAAAGCTATGGCTGACTGATCTACAAGGCTTATGGGAAACAACTGAAGAACCTAGAATTGGGCCTGGAAGAGGAGAACAGAAGTGTTCTGACATCGAAGAGTCCTGTCCTGCCTGGGAGAGTTCACTCGAATCTTGTTCAGGACACAATCAACCTGGAAAAGGGAGGGCAATGGGCAATCTAACTCTCAGAGCCACCTGGAGAGGCAACTGCTGCTTTGGTAAAGTACTGAGTTTCCATCCGTCTGCCTGGATGACCATCAGAAGTGACAACCCTAGAAAGAACCATGTAATCAAACATCTCCCGTTAGGAAGAAATCTCCACACCTAGTCTGTGGAAAGACCAACTACAGAATGGATTTTTCAGAAAGAAGACATGACAAACACTTTCCAAGGGAGATGGAGAGAACAGGAGAAGGCAGAGCAACTGAGGGGGAGGCAGGCAAGAAACACAATTTAGCCAGATGTGGTGCATGCCTGCAATCCCAGCACTTCAGAGGAGGAGGCAGGAGGATCACTATGAGTTCAAGGCCAGCCTGGGATACCTGGTTAGTTCAAGGCCAGCATGCACTACATAGCAAGACGCTGTCTCAAAAAACCAAAAAGAAAGAAAAAGAGAAAAACACTTTAGCTGCTACTAAATTGTGGCATTTGCAACTGAGGGCTAGCTGAAGAGTTAGACTTGTTGTCAAAAGCATAACTGGTAAGAGACAAAGTTGATAATTTGGGCATCAAAATAAAAAACCTGTAAAAGATACTCTGAAAAACAGTCTGGCAAATAAAACACTAACATACATCTATCAAGTAATCCAGTAACTGGGCTCCTTGGCAGTTATCCCAGATAAGATGTATGTCCACATGAAACCTATACACAAATGTTCGTACAGCTTTACTTGCAATAATCAAAGACTGAAGCTGGGCACGGTGGTGCACACCTGCAACCCCAGCTACCTGGAAGACAAAGGTAGGAAGATAGTAAGTTCAAGGCCAGCTGGGGCAATTTAGCAAGACCCTATCTCAAAATAAAAAATTAAGCCAGGCAGGGCCGGGGATTTAGCTCAGTGGTTTCGCCGCCTGCCACACATGCATAAGGACCCAAGTTCTAGTTCAATCCCCCATACCAAAAAAAAATTAAGCCACGCATTGTGGTACATGCCTGTAATCCCAGCACTCTGGGAGCCTGAGGCAAGAGGATCATAAGTTCAAATCCTGCTTGGCCAATTTAGTGAGACCCTGTCTTTAAAAAATAAAAGGGGAGGGCTGGGGATGTGGTATGGCGCCTGCCTCACAAGCACAAGGTCCTAAATTCAATCCCCGATATGGGGGAGAAGGGGGAACTGAGGCCTAGGGATGTAGCTGAGAAGTAGAGTACTTCTGGGTTTAATTTGCAGTACCATAAACTAAACAAAACAAAACAAAATAAAACGGGGTGGGGATGTAGTCAGTGGTAGAGCACTTACTTAGCATACGTTAAGGCCCCGAGTTCAATCCTTAGTACCAAACAAACAGAAGCAAACAAACAAAAAATCCTTCAGGGTGAATGTTCTTCAATGGGGAAAGAAACATTGGTGCATCTGTACCATGGAACACTACTCAGCAATAAAAAGAAACGAGCTACTGATGCATCCATCACTTCTACGGGTCTCAAAGGAATTATGTTGATGTTCCAAAGCAATTCTCAAAAGGCATCATACTGTATGACCCCATTTTGTCTTAAAATGACAAAATTATAGAGATGGAGAGCACAGATGTGGTGGCCAGGAGTTAGAGACAAACAGGAAGGGAGTGAGAGATCTCTGCTAATGATTAAGCAGCTCTGTCTGGACTGGCAGAGGGGCACACGAATCTGCACATGTGACAGGATCACGCAGCATGACAAACACATTCACAATCCACGTAATCCGAATAAAGGTCTGTGGGCTCCACCAGTGTAGGTTCCTGGCTTTGACATTTACTATGTTATGTAAGATGTTACACGAGTATTTCTCTATCCTACTTTTATAGCTTCCTATGAATCTATAGTTATTTCAAAATAATTTCTTTTAACAGCAGAATGGCAGACAGGTAGACAGGAATTTGTCAAGCCTGCCAAAGCAGAGAACTGTGAATAAAACCTGGATGTATTTTAACTGTTCTGTACAATTATTTTTATAGATTCTGTAAGGCACATAGCCAAGCACTCCTCGGAGAAAGGGTATCATCAATCCAAACTGTTATCAAAAATTCTCCATGAAATTATTTACCTACTATCATTACTTCAACAGACTCCTCAAGCAAGCCCCAGCAACTGCCAGTGGGTGCATGGCAGAGTCCTCCTCAGCCTCCCCGTACGACCTCTTGGCACCCGAGGCAGAGGCTGCTCGGCCACCTCCCTCTGCTGCCTCGAAGCTGCCCGCCCCATCTGCACTAGATCACGTAGGTTCAGGAATCTCTTACCTGTTGAGGTCCCAGATTCTCAGGGGTGAAAAGTGGGCACAACAAGCCGTCCCAGTCACAAAAGAGCTGCCAAACAAAAAGAGAGCAGGGTTAGGTCTGGTTTGTCAGAACTCATGGCAGAAATGGCTACACAATTGGAAATGCAGAGCATGCTCCCCGGGGAACCATGGGGTTAAGTCAGAAGGAGAGAGGGAGCAGAGAGAATGACCAGAGCAGCGGTGGGAAGACAACCTGGAGTGCAGAAGGGCTGTCACCTCCCAGGGGTGCCTGGCCAGAGGACCCACAGGGTCAGGAATAGCTGCTCTTGCTGCTCAGAGTGGGTTGTGGCTTCAATGCCCACCATAAAAACAGACCTGCAGATGGGCAAGTCTGAGCCCACAGAGCAAACCTGTGGGTTGTAGCAGTATGAAGCCTGAGCGCACAGGCCTTCAGCCCGCCTGGGAACATGCTGCTGGGGACTGGTGGATGAGGCCTAGTCAGAGCGGGGCGGTGGGAACATTCCTAAGGGTAAGGCCAGGGCGAGTCTGGCAATGAGGAACAAGCACTGGGCAGGTATAGAACACTGCGCTGAGAACAGGACAGACAGGAAAGGAGTCAATCCCGTGGGTGAGTAAATGCTGCCGTACAGGGTGAGGAATGTGAGGGTCAGGCAGTCAGGACCACTGGGGCCTGGGGCTGGGGTTGGGAAGAGTCCTCCAGGGATGCTGCCAGACACTGCCAAGAGGAGCTGAGAGGGAACAAAAAGACTGACCATATTTTCCAGTGTCTCTTATACCCCTAAAAACTCAACATAGTCTTCGAAGTTTTGTTGTAAGGGGAGGCACACACTCCATGGGAGGCACCGCTGTCATGGGAGGCACTGGCTGTCCCAGTGCTGGGACCAGAACGCACAGGCCTCTGAGCCTGGCCATTCCTTTGATGGGGGGTTTGGCAGGGGTAGGGAGGGAAGCCTTCCGGAAGCCCAGCCTTGAAAGCATGACTGGCAGGGGGGAAAGCTGGAAGCAGTTGTGTCCCTCAGAAGCCCCGAGGCCGGGGGCTCTGTCCCTACATGCCTCATGAGGAGGAGGGAGACTGGGCACTAATGACACGTTAGCAATGTGGGCAGCAGCAGCCCAGCATCCGCGTTCTTTCTCAAGCGTGACAGTGGAGACACCTCCACAGGGAGGCCACTGAAGAAGCCAGCATTTGGGCCCAGGTGGGACGCGGACTGCCAGTTGCTGCTGAGAGAGAAGTTTAAGGCAGTCGTTGGCCAAACTGCTCACTCACCACCAAAACTGCAGGGGTGGTGTCCACTTGTCAGCCCCAAGCTGACAAGACACGGCCGTCACCCAGGGCTCTCAGGCTGAAAGCCAGGACTTCCTCCAGGGACGCGCCCTGCCACCCCAGCTTCCTCCTGACCCACAGGGCTGCGGACAGCCACTCCTCCATGCCCAAGGAGCGCCCAGCCTGGGAAGCAGCCACTGGACACTGAAGCGCCAAACTGCAAAGCTGGGAGGCATTCCCCATGCCTCCCTCCTCCTCCCATTTTTCTCTTCAGGGTAATCCATGAGGAACTTCGAAAGCCAATTACCTCAGGTTGGAAACTTAAGGGTTGGGCTCTCGGACTCCTGAGGAGTGGGACCCAGGCGAAGGATGCCTGCACAGGCACGTGGGCATGTTTCACATTTTTGTGTGTGTGGTACCGGGGATCGCACACAGGACTTTGCGCTTGCGAGGCAGGTGGGCACCACTGAGCTAAACCCCTGGGCCTGTGGGCATCTCTTAAGGACGCCTACAGCAGGCTTCTGACTGGCCATGGGCCCAAGGAAAGTCAGTAAGTAGGAGGAAGAGAAACCTGGAGCCTTTATCCCTGCCACTCCCGCAGCTCTGACCTCCCAGCAGGCAGGGCAGGAGTGGGCATGGGGGTCGGGCAGGGGATACAAGTGTGCTCCCCGGGACTACTCTCCTCTTCTTGGCCCACCCCCCCACCCACCCACCCGAGAGCAGGCCCTCACTTTCACAGCCTGGGAAGGGCTTTCTTGACTACCTGGACATGAGAACCATAAATGTTCCTTTCAAAAGCTGTCCCTTCCTTTGCCCAAGCTCTGTGAAGCAGGGAGGAGAGGAGAAAAAACAGTGTCCTCTTGGCACTTACGAGGACCTGAGCTTCACGAGAGTTAATACCCAGTAGAAAACACCCAAGCGACAGCCCAGCAGACTGAGCCAGGCCCTGCTGGGGGACACCCACCAGGACTCACCCCAGCCGGGAGGACGGCTCGGGGCGCAGGGGTCAGGCTGGCTGCAAACACGGTGCCGCACACCTTGAACTGTTCCCAACTACTTGTGGCCATGCTTAGCTCTGCCCCGCTCCTCAATTACCATGGTCCTTAGGAAGAAAGAGGCAAAAGCCACCGGCCAGATGAGAAAGATGACCCCAACCAAGTGCAGTCTCCCTGAGGGTGTGACAGACACATGGAGCAGAGGAAGGAAGGGGCCCAAAGGACACCTACATTATCCCGTCAGTGTCAGCGAACCTACCAGTGTGCTGCAGCTGCACACGGGACTGTGCCCCACATCCTGTCCCCTCCCCGAGACTGCGGCTGAGGAGGCAGGACGTGGCCCTCAGCTCTCCAAGCTCTCCGCCCTCAGGCCTACAGGCAACGCGCTCTGCTCCCCCTCCCTCACTACGCAGGGTCCTATGCTAAATACGTCGACAGCTCTCAAGAAATATCTGCAGGTCAGCGAAATGAAAACATGCTGTTCCTTTCCTGAGCAAAGGGATGGTGACCAGGGACTGCTCGTGGCCCTCCGGGCCCAGCACGCTGCCGGTCCAGAAGGCCTCAGTACAAATCTGAGGGGATGCATAAGAAGGGCTCCCGGAGCCCACAGCTGGGAAGCCAGCCGCGTGGTCCCTCGGAAGACACAGAGCTGAGCACACATGGCAGTCACACACTGTCGGAGAAGGGAGAAGCCCTTCGTAAGCACAACAGAAACACCAACCGTACCTAAAGTCAATGTTAGCACACGCACACTGACACACACACGTGCGCTTTCTGCTCAATGAGAGGGACCAGAAAGCCCTTGCCAGAAGCCAGCCTTTTATGATCTCTCGCAATTCTGTCCCAAACCTTGCCTGGATCCTCAGCCTACCTGACCAGAAGAAGTTCTGTGTACAAGTTGAGGGACAGAGGTAACAAGACATGGAAAGTAAGGGAGGGAGGTAAGAAGGGGAGTTAAAATTAGTGGGGCGTGAACAGACTGAAGAGCAGGTAGATCCCTACTCACGGCTGCTGCATTAGCTTAGGCCCCTGTGTTTTTTCAAGACAGGATCTCACAATATAGCTCAGGCTGGCCTTGAACTCATTACACAGCCCAAGTCTGCCTCGAACTCTCAGAGATCTTCCTGCTTCAGCCTCCCAAGTGCTGGGATTACAGACGTGCGCCACCACACCCGGCTAATGTAGGCCCTCTTAATAACATTAACACACTCAGCCCTCCACATTCTGTAGGTTTTGGCTCCATGGATTCAACTAACCACTGATCAAAAATATTTAGAAAGGGCCGGGGATTTAGCTCAGTGGTTTCACTGCCTGCTGCGCAAGCACAAGGACCTGAGGTTCAATCCCTTGGTACCAAAAGAAAAAAAACAAATTTAGAAAAAAACAATTACATCTTTATTGAACATGGCTTTCTTGTGCTCAGTAATACAATGTAACAACTATTTACATAGCACTTATGTAATACATAGCATTGTATTAGGAAGCAATCTAGAGCAGGTCTGAAATATAGCAGAGGTACATAGGTTACACACAAACACGATGCTACTTTATACAAGAGATGTGAGCATCTGCAGATTTTGGTATCGATGGGCGTTGTGGCCCTGGAAACAACTTTCCACAGATATCGAAGGTTGACTGATTTACTGAGTAATCACTGTGTGTCAGATGCTGAGCAAATGTTTCAAAAGCATTGTCCCACTGAATTCTCATAACCCTATGCAGTAGGTACCACTTTCCCTATTTTACAGATGAGGAAACTGAGGCTCAGAGAGGTAATAAACATTCTAGCTCACGTAACTAGCGAGTTATTAGGACTGGCTCCAAACCCTGGTCAGTCGTGATTTCAGAGGCCCTTGCCCCATAAACTTACCTGGGCTACATTTTAGGTTGGTCTTGTCTGTGTGCTCAGTACCTGACACACACTGAAAGCTCAAATGCCTATGGGGAATGAATGAGTGACCCAACAAATGGACAAATGACCGTACCTGGGAGAAGAAAGACGTGCCTGCTGAGGCAGGTGCAGAAGTGCCATGCTCAGCAGCTGTGCCCGGGGCTGGCCGGGAGCCGCCCCCTGAGCCTAGGGTGACACACTCTGGCGAGGGAGCCCACCCAAGCTGTCACATCGCTCACCCACATGCCCATCAAGTGTATTCAGTTCTCTTCGACCCGCACTGGCATTTTAATTACTGTTGGGTAAACTAATTTGTACAAATGAAGGCCGGGCTGCCTAATAGAATACGCAAGCTCTCTGACCTCTGACAGGCACTGACACAAGATACAAAGGCAGCCGAGGAAGCCTTTTTATCTGAGCCTTATTACTCTCTATTACTCCAATTAGTCAGGCTCCAGTGCTCCTAATTGGAGGAAAAATTGCAATTAAATCAATTTTTGATGGGCTGCAAGTGGGCTCCCGAACCGCCCTGCTTGTGAAACACTGATATTATAGCAACAAAGGTCACAGGCCTCATCGGCACCTGGGGCCCCCCGATTTCCCTTGGCTCTCTCCTTAAATACCTCAAGGGAACCCCTGCCCCTCCATCGGCTCAGCCAGCAAGGGTGGGAAGGAGGGAGTCATTAGAACATGTCAGGTCTCATTGCTACCACCGCCATCTGCTACCTCCGCCACGACATCGGCACAGGCTGAGTCCCAAGGCCTGCGCACGGAGGCGAGAGCATCACACAAACTGGCTGGCAGGGAGGGGCCGCAGGAGCAGTACATCCGGGGAGCGGGAACAGGAGGGCAAAGGAAGTCAGACAGGGGCAGGTGAGAGTGGACAGCAGCCAGCGCTAAGAGCTTCCCAACAGGGA